GAATGCTCACCCTGAGCCACATGGCCATCTAAACTTCCACCTTCTCCCAAGGAGGTTTAACCTGAATTATTTATGTATTTTTAAGACAGGGTCTCATTCTGTTACCCAGCATGGAATGCAGAGGCATGATCTTGACTAACTGCAACCTCCACCTCTCAGGCTCAAAGAATTTCTCCCACCTCAGCCTCCTGAGTAGCTGGGACCACAGGCTGATGCCACTGCACCTGGCTGACTTTTTGTATTTTTGGTAGAGACAGGGTTTTGCCATGTTGCTCAGGCTGATCTTGAGTTTCAGAGCTCAGGCGATTCACTCGCCTCAGCCTCCCAAGTGCTGGGATTATAGGCATGAGCCACTGCGCCTGGCCTTAACCTGATTTTTTGGATTCAATGCTATACTTGGCCTTACAGAAACTGGGAACTAGCCGCTTGTAGACTGCCTCTGGGAGCCATGAGGAGGGGCACTGAGGGCCCTGGTTTAGGGGTGGAGGTTGCTGGCAAAAATGGAAGTTTCCCCACAGACAGTGGCTTGGCATTTATTTCTCTCTAGAAACCGGCCTTCATGAAGAGTTGCCCACGCAACACACTCCCTTCAGGCCAGCAAGGGGCCAGGTCCCCCTTATTAAGGAAGAGACCACTTTATGTAAAAAGCATATACGTGTATCCAGAATAATGGGTGGACCCAGCTCTGCTCAGCTTGACTCATTCCTCCAGTTCTCAGTTTTCCGCAGATGCCAGCAGCTGGTTCCACTCTTGCTTCCTGCTCCAATCGAAGTTCTCTGCTGCTCCCCTTCTGATCATTAAAGAAGCAGGGGCCTCTGGTTAATTTCTTTCTCTCTCTCTCTCTTTGAGACAGGATTGTCTCAAAGACAATCACAGCTTACTGCAGTCTTGACCTCCCAGGCTCAAGAGATCCTCCTGCCTCAGCCCCTAGAGTAGATGGGACCACAGGCACAAACCACCATGCCTGGTTAATATTTGTAATTTTTTTTTTTTTTAGAGATGGCGTTTTGCCATGTTGCCCAGGCTGGTCTTGAACTCCTGGACTCAAGCAATACTCCTGCCTCGGTCTCCCAAAGTGTTGGGATTATAGGTGTGAGCCACCACGCCCAGCAATATTTCTCCCTCCTGACATCTAGAGAGGTGATATCATCCTGGCCTGCTGGCTCACCAGCTCTTCCTGATCTCTCTCTCTCCCTCTCTCTCTCTTTCTCTCTCTCTCCCCCTCCCTCCCTCCCTCCCTCCCTCCTGGCATGCTGGCTCACCCAGCTCTTCCTGATCTCTCTGTCTCTCTTAGAGATGCACGGTGGAAGGCAGGGGAAAGGATGTGGCCTTCACAGCTAGAGGCCTGCTTTCCACCCTGCCTCTGCTCCAGCAACTTTGTTACCTGGGTCAGTTACCCCTCACTGAGTCTTCCTTTCCTAATCTGTAAAATGGGGGTGACGGTCCCTGCCTTAGGGCGTAATTGTTGTGAGAAACAGACAGGACCCTATGCACGCATGGCCTTGCAGCTCTAAAGCACTGGACAAGCGTGTACTTGGTCTCTTTCCTCGGCCCTCTGGCAGCAGCCTGGCAGCTTTTTTTTTTTCCTACTTTCTGCTCCTTGTAATGTTCACGGGCAACGTCTAATCAGCCTGCCTTCTGAATTTCTCCAGGTGACTTCTCTTTCTTCCCTCCTCTCTGGCCTCAGTTTATCCTACCAGGCCCCATGCCAGGGATGTGCACATTTCCCAGCCTCACTCCCATCTTTCCATTTCCTTCTCAGCGTGTTCAGAATCCCCGTGTGTCCCCACAAGAGCAGCCTTCTAAGCTGGACCCTGGCTCCTCTGTGGAACGTGCAAACCCGGAGCAGGCCAGTCCCGGCAGGAAAACATTTTTGAACTGTGGTTTACATTTTTTAACCTTAAAAAAGTTAAGCATTACTAATTTATGTCCTCACTTGGTCTTTCCCTCTGTCAGGCTGTCACATGTCATGCTTGGCACACAGTGTGTCCTCAGGGAAGAGTGGGGCTTCCAAGAAAATGTGGCACCTCCTTCTATTTGTCTTTGGCATATTACAGCACAGTGCAGTTTACAGTGCTCTGTTTAGTGGATGTTTTAGTTATGTGGTCTGGTGTTAACTAAGCCACACTAAATGGAGAGGTGACTCTTACAAGTTCCTATAAAGAAACTCTGGATACAAAATAATACTAGTCCATTGATCATAAGCAATCATTAAAAACTGCAATGCTGACACTTCTCAGGGGGTCTCACTGTGCCATCAGCCATATTACAAGGTAAAAATAGTGACAGCCTATCAGATGTGACCCCCAAGTACTCCAGGATCCAAATGATCAAAAAGACTCTATGAAATATAGATTGATATCACCATTACTAATAACAAACCTTACGCTAAGTGTATAAGTGCCCAGAAAGAGCAGCTAATGGTGAAATAAAAGCTATCTTGATCAGGAAAACATTTTAAACCACTAAGACGCTCAAATTTTGCTGTACAATTGGACAAAAGTATAGGTATCTCTACCATGCCTCTTGGTATTTGCAAGAATTCATTTCAACAATAAAAATGTATGAAGGACTGGGTGCAGTGGCTCACACCTGTAATCTCAGCACTTTGGGAGGCCGAGGCAGGCAGATCACCTGAGGTCAGGAGTTTGAAACCAGCCTGGCCAACATGGGAAAACCCCATCTCTAGTAAATATACGAAAGCATGGTGGCGGGTGCCTGTAATCCCAGCTACTTGGGAGGCTGAGGCAGGAGAATCACTTGAACCCAGGAGGTGGAGGCTGTAGTGAGCCGAGATCATGCCACTGCATTCCAGCCTGTGTGACAGCAAGACTCCATCTCAAAAAAATATATATAACTCTTTTTGTAAACCACTAAAGGATGAACCACTGAACATATATTCTCAACAGTAAATGACTTCCTGGATGACAATAAGCTTTAGCAAACAACTCTGTCAGTGTAGCTGCTGGTATGACGACTGGGAGAAAAAGGAATTGGGGTAAGGTAACAGAGATAGAGGGTGCTATCTGTGCAGCATTCAGAGACAAGCTATTGCCACAAAGGAGTTAAAGCTAGAAGAAGGCAAATTGCTATAGGAAACTATCATGCAGCTAGCTTTATAGAGCAAGACCTTTGAAATATCATGGTATCTTTATGGAACTTTGTATGGAATAAGGTCTGTGGCAATTGCTCATACCTGCTTAGAATTGCTGGTTATCTACAAGCAAAAAAATTGTGAAACTTGGCCAGGCACAGTGCCTCATGCCTGTAATCCCAGCGCTTTGGGAGGCTGAGGCGGGCAGATCGCAAGGTCAGGAGTTTGAGACCAGGCTGGCCAATATGGTGAAACCCTGTCTCTACTAAAAATATAAAAATTAGCTGGGTGTGGTGGCACATACCTGTAGTCCCAGCTACTTGGGAAGCTGAGGCAGAAGAATTGCTTGAACCCGGGAGGTGGAGGTTGCAGTAAGCCAAGATCATGCCACTGCATTCCAGCCTGGGTGACAGAGTGAGGCTCCATCTCAAAAAAAAAAAAAAAATTGTGAAACTTATAGCTGAGTTCTCTTTTGTTCTACAAAAGATGGTATTCCCCTGCCTTTTCCGCTGATGAGAGGTGGCGATCGGTAGTATGCCTCCTGCTAGAGCTTTTCAAGAGGATTGGCACACTAGTCTGTTCCTGCGAAGTAATAGAGATCTTTTCCTTGTTTTTATTTGATGTCAACTATTTGGGTTTTTTTTTCTTTCTGTAAAGTAAGGGGAAATGTTGTGATATCAAGGCAGGGTATGTATCAGCATAAAATACTGAGAATCATTTCCTTGTTGGTCAGTCTGCAATCAGATATCTTCTGTGTATTTTTATTATTTCAAAATAAAAAGCAAAAAGTAATAAAATCCATATTACATAACATTCCATATAGAATAGTACATACTATATGTAATGTTAGAATTATATATGTAAAGTATATAATATCATTTTTCTTAGTATTAAAAAATTTTAATTGACAAAAATTGTATATATTTGTGGTACACAACTGATTTGTTTGTTTTGAGACGGAGTCTCACTCTGTCACCCAGGCTAGAGTGCAGTGGCACAACCTCAGCTCACTGCAACCTCCTCTTCCTGGGTTCAAGCAATTCCCCTGCCTCAGCCACCCAAGTAGCTGGGAATACAGGCATGTGCCACCATGCCTAGCTAATTTTCATATTTTTAGTAGAGATGGGGTTTCACCATGTTAGCCAGGCTGGTCTTGAGCCGCTAACCCGAGGTGATCCTCCCGCCTTGGCCTCCCAAATCCCTGAGATTGTAGGTGTGAGCCACTGCACCCAGCCATTGCACAACTGTTGTTCTGAAATAGGTATACATTGTAAAGTGGCTAGTTAACATGTGTATTACCTCAGGTACTTATTTTCTGTTATGAGAACACTTAAAATCTACTCTCAGCAATTTTTAAGAATACAAGAAACTCTTATCAACCATATTCACTATGTTATACAGATCTTTTGAACTTATTCTTCCCATGTCTAGCTGAAATGTTGTACCCCTTGATCAGTATCTCCCCTCTTTCCCAGGCCCCAGTAACTACCTTTCTACTCTGCTTCTGTGGATTTGCTTTTCTTAGTTCTCATATGAAAGTAAGGTCATGTGGCATTTGTCTTTCTGTGCCTGGCTTATTTCACTTAGTGCTGCTTTTAATAAAAACGAGGTGGAGGCCAGGTGCGGTGGCTCATGCCTGTAATCTCAGCACTTTGGGAGGCCGAGGTGGGTGGATCACAAGGTCAGGAGTTCAAGACCAGCCTGGCCAACACGGTGAAACCCCATCTCTACTAAAAATATAAAAATTAGCTGGGTGTGGTGGTGCATGCTGTAATCCCAGCTTTGGGGGCTGGGGCTCTCTGCTGCCAGGTGGGCTGGACATCCAGACTGTACCTGCTCCCTAGCACGGGTGACAGAGGAGCCCAAGGGCCCTCTAGTTAGACCTGTTCATATCTTCACTCTTCAGCCTCCCCGGTGATTGAGAATGGCCAGCTGGAGTGTCCTCAGGGGTACAAGAGACTGAACCTCACTCACTGCCAAGGTAGGACCCCCAGGGCCAGGGCTGGGCTCAGGGATGCCGGGGCACATTCCCAGCAGCAGACAGGAGGAGTGTCTGTCACTGCCCAAGTGGTGTCCACTAAGCCCAGCTTGGGGGAGTGGTGGGGTGCTGCTGGTTCCAGGGGCCTAAGGAAATCCGGGGACTTGCTTGAGAATGACAGAGAGCTCTGTGGGGCTGTGTCTGAAGGGGCAACCCCAGTCCCTGTGCTTCTACTTTCCTCCTGAGCCGGTCTCCCCGGAATGGGAAGAATTTCAACTCCAGGGTGGGAAATCAAGTCAGCCCGAGTTGGGGAGGGCCTCTGTGAGTTTTTCCCAACTAAGAACCTTTAGCTACTCAGGCCTCCCTCCCACCTGCTTCCACACACAGCCAGGAAGAGGGACAGGGAGCACGGGGGCTTCCTGCCAAGGACAGGCTCCTGGGGCTGGCAGAGGCCAGCAGGGAACAAGGTGGCTTTCCTGTGGGAATCTTTGACAACTGGACAAGTAATTGTCTGTATGGCTTGCCTTGGGTGGCACTGGATCAGAGACAGGGGATTGACCCAGATGGCCTCCAAGGTACTCTCCCCCGGAGCTTGCTTCAGCGAGAGGACTGAGGAAGCCCTGCGTGGCTGGGCTGTCTCCCTGGGGGGTGCCAGGCTGCAGAAGTAATTCCTAACCTGTGGATCAGCAAAGGTGCTTGGGTGAAGCAAAAGGGTGGGCCTCTGGCCCAGCCTCATCCAGGGTCACGCTCCCTCAGGAGGCAGTGGTCTGAGGGCCAAGTAGACAGTGGATGTGAGGACAAGTAGGTATGTTTGCCCTTGGAGGGCACAGCAGAGCTGTTCATATCTAAACTGTCACTAGCTGCTTTTCCTCCCGGTAGGTTTCCCCGTCTGGAGCTTTAAGGTCATCTCAGGATCTCAAAAGGGCTCTCTGCCCTTCCTCCTCTGAGCCCCAGGATTCAGGACACCAAAAGACCTTCCCCCAGGAGGCCCTGCCCCTGAAACCTCCCCTTCCCATGTCTGTGGCTGTGGTCTCTGTGCCTGCGAAGGGACCTGCTTGCTCTGCATCCACACGCATCATCCCTCCTCTCTCTCCATCCTTCCCTCCTACTTCCACAGAGTATTAGAAGGGAGGTTATATGGGCTACATACACTGTGCTAGGTGCTGAGTACACAGTGATAGAGAAGACACAGTCCTGCCCCTGGTGAATGAACAATCACATATAATGAGCGGAGTGTTCTTGAGAGGAAGCAGCAGTCACTGAGCGCTACAGGATCCCATGGTGGAGGCCCCTTCCCAGACTGGAAGGATCAGGAAAAGCTTCCTGGAAGAGGTGATACCTAAGCCAAGACTTTAAAAATGAGTACACGTTGGCCAACTAAGGGGATGCAAGCTCTCCGGGCAATGTGAACACCAGAAGCAAAGGGACAATTTGTGCTGCCTGGAGTGTCCCAGAAAGCTCTGTGTACATGGCCTGTGTACATATGGGAGATGCCACAGCCAGCATCTCATCAGAGTCACCTGTTTACCCACAGACTCTGGGGAAATGGTGGAGGGCCTTGGATACCATGTTAGGGTTTAGGGGTTCCCTCTAAGAAGTGACAAGGAAGCCAGAAGCTTCCTAAGCAGAGGGAAGCAAGTCAGTTTTGGGTTTGGAGGCCCACATCCCACTGTGGCCACAGTCTGGAGGCACAGGGATCACCGTCCCTTCCCATTTCTCAGCAGCACCTTCCCAGCTCTTACTGGCACCCTGTCCCAGTAGGGCATCCTACCAAGGAGTAGTACCCCTCAGTGCCCAGGCTGGGTCGCCTTTCAGCCCCTCGTTCCTGTGCCCAGTGCCAATTTCCCCAAACCCGTGAGTGAACTGGTAGCTCTGCAGACACAGGGCTGTGTTGTCTCCTGCCCTGGAGGCAGGTGTCCCTCACAAGCGATTCATGCTCATCACCTCTGCTGCCATCACCATTATCAAAGAAGTGCCATCATCAAAATGGCCCCGACTCCTCGGAGCTTAGATTGTGAGGGCTGGGACTTCCCCTTGGCAGGAAGAAGCTTGTAGCAGGAAAAGGGGGCTTCCTCTTTGAGGTCACAGAGGAAACCAGTGCACCTCTCTTATTTGAAGAACAGCATGGCCTCCACTGGTCTTTGAGGGGATGTGTGCAGCCTGTGCAAGGCAGGGCATTCAGGAGGACCCGGAGATGCCTCCTCCTAACTCTCTGCACACCCTTGATGTGACCCTTGCTGTCTCCTTCTCCTTCAGAGCCTTCCTCCAGCCTCTGCCTCCTTTTCCTTACCAGGGTGTCCCCTCCTCCAGCTCACTGCAGACGTACTCCCAGGGTCTTGGGCTCTGCGGAGGTGATTCAGGGAGCTCTGGAGGAAGGCTGAAGAGGAGGGACTTGGCTGCCCCTTCTCCACCTTCCAACCTAAACGGTCCCCTCGATCTGCTTCCTGTCTGCATCTCAATATGCCACTCTCTAGCTGAGTGACTCTTGGCAAGTTATTCCTGGGACCTCAGTTTCTTCTCCTGTAAAATGAGGACATGTGGGCCTCTTTGTTAAAATTGTTTGTGAGGATTAAATGGGGTATTGTATGTTAATACCCAACAGAGTTCGCAGCATGTAATAGGTGCTCAATAAACACTAGTGCTTGAGGCCATCGAGGCAGCTCTCGCTTGTCATCCCAGCACTTTGGGAGGCCCAGGTGGGCTGATTGCTTGAGGCCAGGAGTTTGAGACCAGCCATGGGCAACATGGTAAAAATGTGAGTCTATAAAAAATACAAAAATTAGCTGGATGTGGTGGTAAGCGCCCGTAATTCCAGCTACTTGGGAGGCTGAGGCATAAGTTGCTTGAACTGGGGAGATGGAGGCTGCAATGAGCTGAGATCACACCACTGGTTTGCAATTTTATCTTATTGTATCCATCTAACAACACCGTCCAGCTGTTACTATCACTATTCTCATTTTATAAATGAAACTGAGGCACGGGGAGAGGAATCACACTGAATGCATAGCAGCTCTTTTGGTGTTGTTTTATTTGGGGAGAGTATTTGAAGATCTCCGCCCAGCCCCTCCCCTGCATCAGTGGGGCGGGCACTTGGTCATCTCCTCCAACCCTGCAGATATCAACGAGTGCTTGACTCTGGGCCTGTGCAAGGACGCGGAGTGTGTGAACACGAGGGGCAGCTACCTGTGCACGTGCAGACCTGGCCTCATGCTGGATCCATCGCGGAGCCGCTGTGTGTGTGAGTGCTGACGGGGACGGGGGTGGAGGACACTAGGAGGCAAGATGGGACCCTTCAGATCCACAGGCCAGGCCCAGGGCAGTAATTTTCCCCAGACCTGATCATCATCCCATGCTCAGGGCCTGTGTCTGCTACTCAACCTGGAGTTTGACCCAATGTGAAAAACTGGATCGGCTTTTTACCCTAGGCATTTCTTCCAGAACTTTGCACTTTGGAATTCATCCTTTCTATTTCTTATTTTTTTTTTCCTTTCTAATCATTTTTGTTCCACATGTAGCCTTGTTTTCTTTGACAGTAGGGGGGGTGGGGTGGGGGTGTGTGGCCTCTGCTGTGTTGTCTGCTGAGCCTTGGCTGCTGAGTGACCCTTCCAGAAGGGCTGTCCCTAGCATTCATGGAGCTTCTGCCCCACCCCAGGGCCTTTCCACAATCCTGTGGTCCCTTGTGGTTCAGAAGTTTCTCCTCATCCATGAACACACAGTGAGCATTAGCATTGTGTCCAGGTATATGTGTGCATGTATGCCAGGCAGGCCTGTTTCCAGTGACCTCTGTGGTTTCCAGGGGGAGAGACCAAGGTTGGCAGTACCCTCCAATGGCGGAACTGATGCCATGGCCCAGATGGGGCTTTCTGTGGGCAGGAAGGCCTGACCAGAGCTGAATAAAACCAGTCCCAACTGGCCTCTGGGAGGCAGCAGCCCAGGTTGGATGGGTGCCCCCAGCTAAGCAGAGCTCCCTGCAACTGGCCAAGCCCTCAGTCTGCAAACTTCCTGGTATCAGGTCTGGGAGGGCCATGGGGTTGAACAAGACTCCACTGCCACCCAGAGACTGAACCCAGTGGCTCCAGGGAGAGAAGCAGCAAGAGCTATAGGAGGGGATGCCCAGAGATTGCACCTGGAGAACATGTCAGGCTGCTCTCAAGAAACCTTCAGGGTGGCAGTGGCAGGTGATCAAGGCCTTGAGAGGCTTACAGCCCTTCCTTCTACTCCACGTCACTTACGATCCCTTCACCAGACAGGGGTGTTTGACATCCACGGTGACTTTTATTTATTAGTCCCAGAAAGAGACTTTTAATACAGGAAAGCAGAGATGGCTCTCGAGTGTCCTTTTTTCCCTCTCTGTCCCTGGTGTTACTCCCTCTAGCCTCCCACAGTGAGTCACCTCCCTGTAGGTGGGAGGGGTGGCACGAAGTTTCTCTTCCCTTTGTTTCTGAGTTCTGCCTCCTTCCCTCCCTGCCACCTGACTGGGTCCAGTGGAGCAGTCTACAGGACTACCCCAGCCTCCTGATATTCCCTCCTGGGTCATCTCCACCCTGGGGTTCAAAGGGACAGAGACCTTCCTTGCAGTGTCCCAAGGGAAGTGGCTGCTAGAAGCAGAGATTGCAGCTGGAGATCCAGGGCTCACAGCCTGGCTGATGATTTACCTGTGGTGAGCATGTGAGCTTTGACAAGCCACTCTCACACACCTTACACTCGATTTAATCCCTATGACAATATCACAAAGAAAGTTTATTAATCAGGAGTCTTTGGATTGTAAGTGACAGAAACCAAACTCAAACTGCCTTAAGCAAAAAAAGAACTCGCTGGGGCTGGGCACAGTGGCTCACACTTGTAATCCCAGCACTTTGGGAGGCTGAGGCAGGTGCATCACTTGAGCTCAGGAGTTCAAGACCAGCCTAGGCAACATGGTGAGACTTTACAAAAATTAAATCAAATCCCTGCTCCACTGTGATCTACAGGACCTCCCTGGGCCTTAGCTTCTTCATGTGTAAAATGAAGACAAGAGTGATCATTCCATGTGTCTTTTGTAAAGACACATGCCTGTCTTTACAAAAAATTAAAAATTTGCCAGGCATGGTGGTGCACGCCTGTAGTCCTGGCTACTTGGGAGGCTGAGGTGGGAGGTTGGCTTAAGCCCAGGAGGCAGAGGTTGCAGTGAGCTGAGATTGCAGCACTACACTGCAGCCTGGCCAACAGAGTGAGACTTCTCAAAAAAAAAAGCATTGGTTCACACAACTAGGCAGTGCAGGCATGGTGTGGCCCCAGGCTGGCTGACCCAGGCAGCCACCATATTGCAGGGTGTGCTGCTGTTTCCTCTGTGTCAGTTTCATGGTTCCTTCAAAGGTGGTCACCAGATGCTCTAGGTCTACACCCTCTCAGCCTTGCAAACTCAATAAAAAATGAGCCCCTTTTCCCTAATGCCCAGGAATAGTCTCAATGCTGATTATCATTGGACCTCCTTAGTGTAGTGCCCATCGCTGATCCAATCACTGTCACCCAGGGTATGGACAACATGCCCTCAGCCAGAAAGGCGTCAGCCTCCACTCCAGTCACATGGACCAAGGGTGGGAAACTGGTGGTTCCCATAGGAGAACCAGGGTGATTACACCAGAATATGGCACATAGACTCTGGGCAGGCAGAAATACAGGTGTCCCCTGCCATGGAATGATCATTCTCATCTTCATTTTACATGTGAAGAAGCTAAGGCCCAGGGAGGTCCTATAGTTCATGGCGGAGCAGGGATTCAAACTCGGTCTGCTGCATCCTGGGCCTGACCAGGACTTCCCCAGAATCATTCATTCCTCAACTTTGATTGATGTTCTCTTCACTCCACCTCCCCTCCTCTTAGAATCCAGTCCGCCCTCTATGGAATCCAGACTTTTCCAACTTGGCATGCCTCCTCGTCTTCCATTGAGATAACATAAATAAACTATTCTTTAATATTTATTATCAAAGTACAAGAAAGGAGATAAGGGTGGTGGCATTGCTATGACCCAAGCCCAGTGTAGTTCAAACTCACAGTTACCCTCTGTATTTTGATTGGCTGGTTGATTCCGTCTTTGATTGGCTCACTGATTTAGCCATCCATCCATAGATTCAACAAGCATTACTTAGCATCTGCGTGCACCAGACACGATGGAAGGTGCCTGGGTGCCAGAGATGACCAAGATAGAGTCCCTGTCCTTCAAGCTCCCCACTGAGCCTTTGTTCCTTACCTTGTCTCACATTCCGGAAGGCTGTGGTCCTCAGGATGTACTGCTCCCCGCCCAACCCCAGGCACACGCGGGTCCTTCAGTAAACACTTCTAAACTCAGCACCTTAGACAAGCAGCTGCATCCTCGTTTCCTGCCCTCAGGTGACTCCTCCTCATGCAGGTGGGGAGTCACAGGTCTCATCCAGCACATGACATTTGCAGGTGCTGAGACATTCTACTCTGCCTCTTCCTCCTAAAGTTCTTGTGAGGATTTACAGGGCTCCAAACGTCATGACGGAGATACGGGCCAGGCCAGTCTGAGCGCATGTGGCCAGCCACACCTCCATCCACTGCCCTCCCAGCTTCGCATTCCCCTCCCGCTGGCCACCTGCCCACCTCCACGTGCTGTGTCTGTTGCAGCGGACAAGGCCATCTCCATGCTGCAGGGACTGTGCTACCGGTCGCTGGGGCCTGGCAACTGTACCCTGCCTTTGGCCCAGCGGATCACCAAGCAGATATGCTGCTGCAGCCGCGTGGGCAAAGCATGGGGCGGCGAGTGTGAGAAATGCCCTCTGCCTGGCACAGGTAACCCCGGTCTCCATCCGGGCTTTTACTCCCTCAAGGCCAGTGACCGCGTTGCTTGCCCGAGTAGACCTCCCTCAAGCTGGAAGACTGAAGTAGTCTTCCCTGCCTGCTTACCTGCTTATCCCAACTTGGGGCTCCCTTCCTCTTGGCTCCCACAACTGCCGTGTCTCCCAAAGGAAGGAAAGGAGGGCCCTGGTTTCCTGTAGGAACAGCACCTCTCAGCTTGTCCTCTGGCTGTTGGCTTTGCAGAGGCCTTCAGAGAGATCTGCCCCGCCGGGCACGGCTACACCTACGCGAGCTCTGACATCCGCCTGTCCATGAGGAAAGCTGAGGAGGAGGAGCTGGCCAGGCCCCCAAGGGAGCAAGGGCAGAGGAGCAATGTGGCACCGCCCGGCCCAGCAGACAGACAGCCGCTCCGGGTCGTCACGGACACCTGGCTTGAGGCCGGGACCATGCCTGACAAGGGTATCTGAGCTGGGGGAGATGCCTGAGGGATTCCTCTTTCCCCTAAGTTTCCAACACCTCAGAGAACTGTGGGCATTTATCCTGGGTCCCTGGGCATCCCACCTCTGGGGCATTCGGAAAGGGAGTTTGGAGCAGCAGCACCCAGCCCTGGCAGCCTTCTCTCATGGCCTGGTGCAACTGTAGGGCCCCACCTACTTCCTCTCCCATATGAGGTCAAGAGGCGCTCATGCCCCAGGGAGTTGCTTGTGGAGGTGGGAAAGGTAAGCCGCAGCCCCCACCCCAGCAATCAGGCCTCTCTGTCTCCTGCCCCCTGGCCATGCAGCTTCTGGGGCCAGTGCTTGCTGCAGGCCTGAACAGCTGGCAGGTGGGTCCTGGGGACCTGCATGCTAGACCCCTGGCCCTGGCCTTAGAGTCGGAGTGCTAACTCAGCCCAGCGACGTTGGACTCCAGAGGCACAGGGCTGGAGGGAGACTGGGTATGAGGCTCTCCTTGCAAGCGCCCTGAAAGCTATGGAGAAGTCATGCCCAGGTGAACTGGTAACACTTGAGTGCAGGAGGCCTGGAGCATCATAAGGCCAGGAAAACTATGTGGTTTCTCAAATTGCTCCAGGAATCTGGACTAGACAGGGAAGTGAGGACAGAGTCCCAGTGCTGTGGACACAGGACACTGGCCACGCCAGGAGCAACTCCGCTCCTTCCTCAAACTGTTCCCCTGGCCCAGAGCCCGGGGCAGCGGGCAGCGTTACCCAGCCTGGCTGGGAGGCAAGGGAGGAAGGAGGTAGCAGTGCAAGGAGGTGGCTCCAGGATGGATGGGGTGGACAGGCCCGGGAGCAGGTGGGACCCCTGTCACCGGAGGCCTTACAGGAAAGCAGGGGCTTCTGCTTACCAAGTGAGAGGCTGCACTGAGCTATCTTCAGGCCCTCCAGCCCTGGGGTTCTGGGATTCTGTGGTGGCTAGTCCCTGCAAGGGTGACAAGCAGAGGCAGGTAGAAGAGTCCATGCTCTCTGTGCTGCTGGCCCTGCCGGGGATGTGGTCCGGGTGCAGACTGTGGAGCTGCCCAAGTGGTGGTGAGGGGAGAAGGCAGCCAGACCCTCCTCCCTGAGCTAACGCCCTCACCTTTCCCTTCCAGGTGACTCTCAGGCTAGCCAGGTGAGTGAATCCTCTCACTAGGGAGCCGGGCAAGCATGGCAGAGACGAGGACCTGGTAGCAGCTCAGGCCCCAGGACAGTGAGAGGGAGAAAGATGGAGTATCTGTCGGATTTTATTTGAAGAGATGACCAAGTGGGAGGATTGATCCAAAGACCCAGTTTTACCCTAAAGGAAGTGACAGCAACAGCTCCTGTTGACGGAGTGGCCCCTGTGCAAGCAGTTTCCCATTTGGGATGGGCTGGGGCCCCTTCAGAAAGGAAGTGGGAACATGTCCTGTTAGTCCTGGCCATCGCTCAAGCTTTAAGCACTGCAGATGGGGTGTAGAGCTGGTTCCAGTTCATTCTCGGTCTGGCACTTTCTGCACGGTTTGGTTGGACCTCAGGTCTCCTCTGGGAGTGGTGTATGGGGAAGTCGGGCACAGCTGTGAACAGCCTCAAACCACCTCACTGAGAAAGGCGCATCCAACTCCCTTCCCTGTGCCCAAGATTCCCCTGGGAAAAACTGGGTGTCCTCCTAGGAAAACATTCCAGAAGAGGAGATCTGTTTCTTCCTTCATCAGCCTTAGTCCCTGCTCTGTTCTCCGACCCTCCGAATTGCATTGCTGACTGTCCCCAAATACAGTTTCTCTGAGGGGTCTTATTCTTTCCCTGGGCTCCCATATGATGTCCTCCCAGGCGAAAGTGCTAACCCCAGTCCCCACGGCTGCAGCCAGCTCCAGGGCTGTTTTCACCCTCTGCCCACTCTCCTCCTATTGCGTCCCCACCTCTCAGCTACCTCTGTCCACCAGCCGTGTTGAGGGACACCAAGTATAGCCTGCGGTCCCAGCTTTTCCACACTGGCCCTGTGGCTCCAGGACTGCAGTGAACCTCCAGAGCTTCTGTGACTGTGTTGAGATTCGGGGGTTATAGCTGACACCACACTTGCTAACTTTCCACCGTGTACCCAGCACTGAGCTGGCATAGTATGCACATCAGCTCATTTCATCATTTCAACTTCCCGTCATGAGATAGTTGAGAAGACAAATGAAGTGAGTGGTATAAAGTGCCTGGCAAAATACCCAGCATAGAGTAAGAACTCATCAATATCAGGAAGGAATGAAAACGTGAACCAGCCAGCTGGTAGGAAGCCCGGAGGTGGGGGTGGGTGTGGTGGAAGGTAACACGTTGCAGGGACAACAGAAGAGCCAAAAGCGACCCTCTCCTGTTTCTGTGCAGGTCACGACCGGTGTCACTCCTGCACCTGCCTGGGTCCCAGGTGAGTCCTTCTTCTTAGCAGCTCCCAGGCAAAAGAGAAGGGAGGGAAAGAGAGTCCTTAATCAGGAGCGGACTTACCATGTGTGAGCTGGTCCACACTCACACAAATCAGAGGAGGGTGAGAAGGATATGGCCTGTGAGTGCTGTTTCTGGGAGCTCTCTATACACCTAAGGTGAGGTAAGTGTATAGAGTGTATCTCACTTCATGTATATCACTCCATGATGCTTCACAGATAGTTTTCTTCTTTTTTTGAGATGGAGTTTCACTCTGTGGCCTAGGCTGGAGTGTGGTGGTATGACCTTGACTCATTGCAACCTCTGTTTCCCAGGTTCAAGCAATTCTTAGCCTGTTTCAGCCTCCCCAGTAGCTGGGACTACAAGCGTGTACCACCACGCCTGGCTAATTTTTATATTTTGAATAGAGACGGGGTTTTACCATATTGGTCAGGCTAGTCTCAAACTCCTGACCTCAGGTGATCCGCCTGCCTCAACCTCCCAAAGTGCTTGGATTACAGGTGTGAGCCACCACGCCATGCCATCACAGTTTTCTAGCCACGGAGCTCTTTGTGGATTTCATGGCACCACTTGGCACATAAATCAGAACAAAGGGACAGCACTAGCTGAAACAGGTGGTCGGCTGGGTCGCTACACTCCTTCCCCCAGGAGGCTTTGTCTTACTTCCTAAAAATGCTACTTGCCTGTCACTGGTGTTGGGTTCAGACATCGGAAGGCTGAGCTCATGGTTCCTGTAAAACAGAAGACACTGATGCCTGTCTTGCGGCATCTCAAGGCAAATAAGATGTTGGTATTTGGGGCAGAGCATTTCTCTGTAAGCTGTGAAATGCTTTGTCAGCAGAAGGGAAAGAATGTTGAAGGGCAAATCAGGAGACCCAGCTGTGCCTCCAACAAGCTGGCTGGCCTTGGACAAGTAGCCATTTCTGCAAGCCTCAGTCTCCTGTCCCTGAAATGGAGGATTGGGCTGGATGTCCTCCAAGGCCTGTGAGAGCTCTGAGATTCTCTAAGTGGGGCCAGATTAACTTTCAAGAGACTGGAAGGCATGGGAGTGACCCATCCAGGCTTCACCCTTCGTTCTTGGGAGCCTGAGCAGCAGGGAAAAGGGAGGGGCCATGGTCGGCCAAGGGGCTGACCCACCTCTTCCCCTCTCTCCTTCGCAGGGGATGCCACAACCCCACCAATGCCTGAACAGGGAATTCCAGAGATACAGGAAGAACAAGTGACCCCCTCCACCAATGTGCTGGTGACCCTGAGCACCCCAGGTAGCTACAGCCAGCCCTTTGAGGCTCCCTGCGCCCTGCCCTGAGAGCTGTGGCTGTCCAGAGCCAACTCCAGGGTGGGGGCATGAGTGGAATGCCCCCTGGCCTTTCCAACTAAGTGAAGTCTCCAGCAGGGCCCCGGCGGCGCTCTGCACCCCAGCCTCATCTTACAAAGAGCACAGGGTCCCTCTAGTGAAAGCGAGAGCCCTGTCTGGAGCACTGTCCAAGCCCAGAAGGGGGAAGAGAAGGGACGCCATGGGAGAGGGAAGCCAGGGGTCTTCCAGGAGAATCTGGGGGTCCCTTTCGAAGAAGGGGAACATGGAGAGTGTGGTCCGCTGGGGTCCTGGCTCTTCCAGGCCACCCCTCCCCCGAGTCAGCAGAATGTCCTGGCAGCAAGCAGCTGCCTGCCCACGGGAAGGCTGATTTTCGGGAAGGAACATGGCTCTATTTCTCAAGGTTGTTTAACCAAGCCTGCATTCCTCTCCCTCTGGTCAGCTACAGTGATGGGAGTGAGGGGCGGGCGTGGAGGCGATCCTGGCAAATCCACCTTGCTCTGGAATGTGCCCTCCTTAAAGGCTCATTGTCTGGGGACTTGGTGCCAGAGAAGCAAGGCGGGTGTTGTTGCTGCTATTCCGTGCACACGTGTGTGTCCGTTCTGGGGGGCTCCTGCTCCCTTAACCTCACGGCTGGATCTAGAAACCCAAGTCACCTTGGGTGGGGGTGAGGGTAGTGGTGGGGTTCTAAATTTCTTCCAGCAAATGGAAAGCCCCTGCAGCCTGAGGGAAAGTCCAGAGAGTGGGGAGCAGGGGTTCAGCCTTCCCAGGTGTACCCCACTGACCTCTCTCAGGACCTCTCTCCTCTGGGCTCAAAGTGCTGCTCCAGGGAACATCCTCTTCTGTCCTCTGCTCAGCAGGCAGAGTGCATGGAGGAATGCTGAGTTTCTGACAAGGAAAATGGGTGTGGAGGAAGGGGTGGGAAGCAGGGGGCAGGGGGCAGGGGGCAGGCCAATCTCAGCAGCAGCTCTTGACATGTGGGTGAGTGTCCCTACTATCACCACCAGCCTCAGCCTTTTGCCCTATCCCCCTTCTCCTCTGCCATTCTGTAACCCCATCCCTCTGGGCAGACATTTAAGACCAAGCTGAGGGCCCCTACCACCCTCCAGGTGGACACAAACTTGGAGCCAGGCCCAGGGAGAGGGTAGCCTTGGGTACACATTCAATTCAGTACAATTTGGCAGACTAAGCCCCACTGTATACCCACATACAGACCACCTCCCACCCCATTCCCTTGGGCCTTCAGGTTCTCCTGAGCTGTGGGCGCAGGGCAGGGAGCCCTGAGCATGTGGGCTTCAGGCAGAGACTTCAGGTTGGACAGAAAGGCAGAAGGCATCATTCATTCATTATTCATTCATTCATTCATTTGGCATGTTCTAAGTGCCAGGTAGTTTTCTCGTATTAGGGATACTTTTCAGAAAGCTAGAGTCTCTGCTGTCTACACAGCCTCAGCCCTGAGTCCCAGTGAATCTGCCTCCAAATTATTTCTCAATTCTGCACCTGTCTCCCCACTTTTCACCCCATCACCACTACCCAAGGCAGACCCTCATTTAAATTATTCAACAGGTTTTAAGGGCCCACTATCTCTCCCATATCAGTTTATCCATCACCTCACTGCCTGCGTGGCCTTTCTAGGACTGCTCTGACCCACTCCCACCTTTCACCAACGCCCTGTTATAGGCCAGTCTCAATGTGGCATTCAAGGCTTGCTCAGTGGACCCCAACCCACATCTCCCATTTCACCCGTGGTTTTCCCCATGCAGCTTACTCACCAGATCTGTCCATCTGTCCAGGGAAAACTGGGCAGGAGTTACAGGGAGGGGTGGCACTGGGCACTGGGCACTGGGTAGGAGTCAGGCCCATTTTTGGGGTAGGGCCAGGTTGGAGGGTTTTTGCAGAAATTTGCTGGACTTATGGGTGACCTATTAGATCTCGGTGAGGAGAATGACCTACCTTGAACTCCATCCTGGGTAGGGTTTGGGGTCCCGGGCAGAGGTCCTCTGGGATCTTATGCAAGGCTAAGCTGTGCATGGGTATGGCCCCTAGACCCTGGCCACTGACTCTGTCCAGCACCCACCCTGCCATAACCTCTGCTTTGCTCTGTCTCCCACAGACATTGACAGATGTGCTACTGGAGACACCAACATCTGTGGCCCTGGAACCTGCGTGAACCTCCCAGATGGATACAGATGTGTCTGCAGCCCTGGCTACCGGCTGCATCCCAGCCAGGCCTACTGCACGGGTATTCACTTGGGTGCCCTGGGCTTACTTGGCGGCTGGAGTAGATGGGAGCAGGGGCTAGGAGGCTAAGTTGAGAGTCCAGGAAGAAGCAGAAGGTCCAAGCAGTGCTGGGTGGTCAGTGAGTTTAGGAGGAGTGCAGTTCCTATAGACAAAGCTAGTGTTAACCTTCAAGGGAAGCCCCATCCGATGAGTCTCCAGGACTCCAGGAGCATGGAAGCCACCCCATTGCATGCACCCTGACCTGTGCCTGGCAGCCTTCTGCACTGAGATCAGCCCACCCCTCAAACTGGCCATTTTGCTGCCTGCAGAGTGGACCAAGGTCTACCCTAGTTGCAGATGTCTCCACCAGGGTCATCCCTGGGGGTAGATCTGAGGCTAAGATAAATCATCACCTGTGGACCTCATTCTTCCTCCCCTCACTATGTTCAAATAAGGGAGAAACACCTACTGTGGTTTCAGAGGAGAAAGGAATCATGAGGCTACTGGAGGAAGGAGACAAGGGGCAGAGAGGAGGGGCTGGCAGTCACCCCAGGCTTCTGGTGCCTGAGTGGGCCCTATGGGCTAACTTTATGGCTTCCAGCCTTAGGATTTTCATCTCCTCAGCCTCTTCCACTCCTTCACCCCTTCCTTGTCACACAGCATCACCCCCTGCCCTGTCCTTAATGTGGGCAAGTAGCTGGCAGGTGCCCAAAGAATGGCACCGCTGGCCCCCTTGACCTGCCTCCCTGCCTCCTTCTGGTCAGATGACAATGAGTGTCTGAGGGACCCCTGCAAGGGGAAAGGGCGCTGCATCAACCGCGTGGGTTCCTATTCCTGCTTCTGCTACCCTGGCTACACGCTGGCCACCTCGGGGGCCACGCAGGAGTGTCAAGGTAAGCCAAGCCCGCCCTTGCCCTTGGACATGCCCCACAGTCTCAAGGGTATGGAAGAGGAACAAGGGGTTCACACCCCCAAACACCGTGCTGCAGAATGGGGAGTGGCCAGCTGAGGGAGGAGAGAACAGAACTCGGGCCTGGGTCTGGGAGGAAGCTAACCCTATACCAGTGTCAAGGAGGGGTAGAAATCCAAAAGCCAGCAATCTCTGCAAAGGCCCTAAGGCATTGTGGGTGGAGCCAAGAGTGTCACAGGGTCAGCAGACATGCCTGGAGATGAGGACTAATCACCAGGCCCCCCAAACTCTGAGTGACAAGGAGCTGCTTTCATTTTAGGGAAGGAGGGAGACCCATGAGGACGCCAGGCTGGGGCTATTGGCAAACTAGGGAGTAGGTGTGCCTTTGAATGAGGAGCACGGTTCCCAGCAGCTTGGAGACACTCGTAGGGCTTTGAACTTCCCTGGGAAGATGCTGCCCACTGCCAGGGGACCCTTGATAAATACGCTTCCAACGTAAACCCTTTAATGATGCAAAACACTCCCCATAATTTTTTTCCACATATATTTTTATGATTAAGTTCACAAATAATAGAATGCAGCAGTGCTTGCCTGCCTACCTTCTTTCTTTCTTTTTCTTTCCTTCTTTCTTTCCTCCTTCCTTCCTTCCTTTCTTTCCCTCCCTCCCTCCCTCCCTCCTCTCTCTCTCTCTCCCTTCCTTCCTTCCTTCCTTCCTTCCTTCCTTCCTTCCTTCCTTCCTTCCTTCCTTCCTTCCTTCCTTCCTTCCTTCAATGGAGTCTCACTCTGTTGCCAGGCTAGAGTGCAATGGCGCCATCTCGGCTCACTGCAACCTCCACCTCCCAGTTTCAAGTGATTCTCTTGCCTCAGCCTCCCAAGTAGCTGGGAGTACAGGTGCCCACCACCACGCCCAGCTAATTTTTGTATTTTTAGTAGAGATGGGTTTTCACCATGTTGGCCAGGATGGTCTCCGTGTCTACCTTGTGATTCGCCCACCTCGACCTCCCAAAGTGCTGGGATTTACAGGCGTGAGCCACCACGCCCAGCCTAATGCAGTGCTTTCTAAGCAGTACCTTAAGATTCATAACCCAGTTCTCAATCCTTCACCTCAAGAGGGGCCCTGCGAGGGCTTGGGGCTCACATTGCTGGCTCTTGCCAGACCCCCAGGGAGGCCAGAGAAGCTGTGTATCCTCCTGCTGCCAGGATCCCCTTGGGTTCCAATGCCCCAGGAGTCCAGTGTACAGAAACCAAAACCATCCAGGTCCTCTCACTTGATTATGGAAGGAAGGGAAGTAGAAGGGGCAGACCACCTACCTTAATGGAAGAGCGGGAGAATCATGGGTGGCATTCATTGTGCTCTCATGCATTGGGCACCTATGTGACAGGCACTGTGCCAAGCTCTGAGGATGCTGAGATGAGTGAGGTATGAATGGTGACATGGTGGGATGCAGATGAGGAAGCAAGTGGTTCTGTATAAGATTATGTGGGTGCTCGAGCTGGAGCAGAGTATGAATAGCTACCATTTAATGAACACTTATTATATGTCGGCACTGTTCCAAGCACTTAGTTACATGAAGTTCATCATCCCAAATCCATGTTGTAGAAATCCTTAGCCCCATTTAACAGTTTAGCAAACTGAGGCTCAGAGGTGAATTGAAATACCCAGGGGCCTCATACCTAGTGGTGACAAGGCTAGAAACAGAATCAAATCACTCTAGCTCCAAAGCATGGTTTGTTTCCAAAGACACATTCCTTTACACACAGGGTGTTGGACACCACCGCGGAGCATGAATAGGAATGGAGGGAGCAGCAGGGATTCCAAGTAGATCCCCTGCGGAGACCTAAGTAGTGAACGTTCCCTGGCATGCTCTGCGAATAATGATGAATACAGTGTGACTGGAGCAGGGCTACGTGGAGGAAGAGGCCAGTGTGGGAAATGTCTCGAGTGCCAGGCTGAAGTGTTTGGATACTGTCTCACAGGCAGGGGCAGCCAGCAGAAGTCTGTGAGCAGAACGGTGGTGACCGGGTCAGCTGACTTCCAGGGAGCTGACTCAAGCGGCAGGGCTCAGAATAGGCTGGAGGAGCCAGGACAGAGGCTAAGGGAAGGGGGCTTCTCTGGGCTCCAGTGGTCCAGGTGGGTGCTGTGGGCCAGAGGCACTGCTCTTTGCAGACCCAGCCTGGGGAGCTGGACTGGGATGAGCAGCAGCTGCTGCAGGGAATGGGATCACCAGGACTGGCCCAGACACAGGTTTCTGCCAGGGGCCAGCCCGGGTGTCCAAGATGTCTCTGCCAGCCCCAGCAGCTGGGGGACAAGCGGTGGGGCTCAAGATTGGCTGTAAGTACTTGTGGGGCTTGGCTGCCACTTGAAGAGGCCTTGTCCCAAATAACTCCCACCTTCTAAAGTTTGCCAGTCTCATACAGTAATATCTCATTACTTCAATGATTTAATATTTATATTGATTGATTAAATAATGTATATAATTAATATAAACCACTACAATTTATATAGGTTAATATAAATAAGATACATTGTTTACATATTAAATATCTAGGTAAATGTTTACTGGTAAATGTAAGCATGTCTTCATCCATTGGCCTGTGGGTTTCCTCATCTGTAAACTGCTGGGTCCCATTTTTGTTCAGTTTTCCAATGGTCGTTGCTGCTTTTTCCTGGGGCTGTTTAGGAGTGCATTATAGATTGTAGATTCTTGGCTGGATTTAGAAATTGCAATGCTCCCATTTTGTCCTCTATCCTTTAAGCTTATCTACATTTCTTGGAACAGAAATTCTTAATTTTGATGTATCGACATTCACCATTTTGCCTTATTTTTTGTGTTTTGGGGGCTTTATTTAAGAAATCTTTCCATATCCCGAAGTCACAAGGATATTCTCCTATACCTTGAGTTCTAGTTTTCCCTTTTATCGTATGCTTTGATTCATCTGGAGTCCATCTTTGTATGGCTGTTAAGAACCTGGTCTTTAGCTATTCACATCTCCATTTTTCTCCATGGAGCCAGGGAGTTTTCCAAGCCATCGATCAGACAGTTGTCTCAGCCCCAGGGGTGAACGAGTTCTTCATCCATTCCCACACATGGCTCTGTCTATGAGTTCCCTTTTCTCTTCCATTGGGATTAGAGTTTCTCACAGTGAACACCAGTTATTCCAGAATTGCCTGAAGAGTTATAACAACGTGGGTTCCTGGGCCCACTAGTATGTCTGGGCCAGAATCTCTGGCTGTGGGTCTAGGAACGTGTGTTTCCCACCTTCTGGCGGTGACTTTGCTGTGCACTGGAGTTTTATGAAGCATTGCTCAAGTGAAGACACTGTCCATGAACAAATGATTCTGATTTGATTCCCTCAGGAAGCACTAATTGGGGTTCTGTGCTGGGCACTGGTGGTGCTGAGTTAATAAGGCATGTTCCCAGCAGTCAAGGAGAGCTACAGGTGCACTGAGAGCTGGGCCCTCAGGGAATGCTGGGCTAGAGATGAGTGGGAGGCAGTCATGCTGGTGGGTAGGAAGTTGCTCCAGGCAAGGGGACAGTGTGGGCAGAGGCTCAGGAACAGGTCCTGTGTGGCGAGGGTAGGAGAGGTGTGGGCGGCAGGAAACAGATGAGACTCAGGCTGGGGCCGCTTATGCAAGATCTCACATGCCAGGCTGAGGAGCTTGGATTTGATGGGGTTCAACGCTAGGATAATAATAGCTAACATTTCTGCAGTGTTACCTTATGCCAGGCGGGCACGGTGCTCAACCCCTCACCTGGATTATCATATTTAATCTGCACAAAGGCTCTGTGACGTGTCTGTATTGGTCCCAGTTTAAGGGGGAGAGTGGGAAGGTGAGGCCTTGATTGGTCTGACTGTGGGGACAGGGAATGGGGACCCACAGGACCCAGAGGTGATGCATTAAATCAGTCCTTGAAATGGAGGCAGGGATTTGCTGGCCATCTTGAGGAAAGAGACTCCGAGTAGAAGTATTTGTGTGAACAAAGGCTTGGAGGCTGGACCACTGAAATCCATAATAGCTGAGGCTATACGAAGGGACATGCGTGAATTAGTAAATGCAGCAGAGCTGGGCCAGGTGGCAAAGGACTTGTGAGCCAGGCTGCAAGCAGGACTGGAGGTAGCAGGGGTCTCTGGCAGGAGTTTAAGCATGGGAGTGGCATGAGCGCAGTTGGGCATTACAGGCATCACGGGACACCAAAATGGCAGAAACCACACCCTACAGATCCATGGCTGCCTAAAATGCAATCCCTCACTGGCTGCTTGGTTCCTAACCTTTAAAAAGATCCTTAGGAAGGACCCCAGGAGGCCGGGCACAGTGGCTCACACCTATCATCCCAACACTTTGGGAGGTCAAGGCTGGTGGATCACTTGAGGTCAGCAGTTTAAGACCAGCTTGGCCAACATAGTGAAACCCTGTCTCTACTAAAAATACAAAAAATTAGCCAGGCGTGGTGGTGGGCAACTGTAATCCCAGCTACTCAGGAGGCTGGGGCAGGAGAATCACTTGAACCTGGGAAGCAGAGGTTACAGTGAGCCAAGATTGTGCCATTGCACTCCAGCCAGGGCAACAAGAGCAAAACTCTGTCTGAAAAAAGATAAATAAATAAATAAATAAAATAAAATAAAAAAGGAAGGACTCCAGGAGCAGACCCAAGGGGGATGTAGCAGGGCCAGGAGCGGGTGGGAGTCCTGTCGGCCTCCGCAGGTCATGCCATGTAGACTGCTGCCCCACCTCCAGACCAGCCCTTGCATGAGGGTAAGGAAACTGCTGTAAGGATCCCCACAGGCCCCCAAAGTAGCCTCCCCTGAGAGAAAGGAACTCAGGGCTAGCAGGGGCCTGAGCTAGATCAGTCCCAGACCTGCCCCAGGAACCTCTCCAGCCCACTGTGGCTGCAGCAAGGATGCCTTCCTCCCCCAGGCCTCAGCGTGGCATCCTTTGTCCTTGGCCTCTGGAAGGCATGCTCCAGGACCCCGCCCCCTCCACTGTCCTCCGGGGCTGGCTGTGACTCAGGGCTTTTCTGTGTGTTCACAGATATCAATGAGTGTGAGCAGCCAGGGGTGTGCAGCGGGGGGCAGTGCACCAACACCGAGGGCTCCTACCACTGCGAGTGTGATCAGGGCTACATCATGGTCAGGAAAGGACACTGCCAAGGTAAGGAATGGGAAGGAGGGAGGCTGCCTGCCACCCCACCCCACCACCCGCCTGTCCTTCCCCACGCATCGCCCACCACCAGCATGCCTTCTAGCTTGTCCCGCCCTGGCACCTTGATGCTGAGCCCACACCTATGGACAGAGACACGTAGGGGAATTCCTGAGTCCTTCCATTCCCTCAGTGATACTCTGGCATCCTATCTGCCCCCTGCAGCAGGGAGGCATGAATAATTTCATCTACATGACACCTTAGGAACATCTCTGTACACTTGCGCCCTCTTGACTTGAAAAATGTGCTCTCCTCATGGGACAGAGAAAGAGTCGGTGTGTTTGGGAGTGTCAGCCTTCTTGTTAAGCTTGTTAGATTGTGAGCTGCTGAGGGCTGGGCCATATCCTTAGATGGTCTGCACATGGATACCTGATAAGCACCCAACAAATGCTAGAGGAAGGAAGGGAGGAAGGGAAGGATGTGAAGGAAGGAAAGGAAGGGAAGGAGGGAGGGAGGGAGGGAGGGAAGAGGAGTGAGAAGGAGAGATCCCAGATCCTTCTGTCTTTCCCAGACCCAGCTAAAAGGCACTGTGACGTTTCTAACTGGTCTCCTCACAGACCCTCTCCTGTCTGGTGCCAGCTCTGAAGACCCCCGGCAGCTCTGCCACCACCATGTCCCTGACAGGCTGGGGTGTCACAGGCTTGCAGGAGGCCCAGGGCATGTGCTCTCCAGACTGGCTGGGACAGGAAGAAATGAGGGTAAATCTAGGCGCTGTCTGGGAAGAACCGGGCCCTGGGTCCAAGCTTAGGCTGAGACTCCTCCCAGCCTCCAGGTTTCTCTGGCCGAGATTTTCCAGCTTTCAAAAGAGCCTAGAAGTCAGAGAAGAGCTTGTATACTTTGTGAAAGGACAGCCTCCCTTCCCAATGCCACACTCCCAATGTGGAAGAAAGTCCAGAGAAGCAAAGGGGAGAGGTGGCAGCAGGTGCAGGATGGACAGCTCTGCCTTCAGCTCCAGCATGTCACCTCCCAATGCCTCCCTCTTGGTCCTCTCCCTTTAAAACTCAGGCCTACCCATGACCAAAGCCAGAACCCACCCACCTTGTCCTCTTTAGCACAATGGAGACAAAACAGCTCGCATTTTCAGGAGAACAGAGAGTGATAGCATCCACCACTGACAAGTGCCTTCTATATCCCAGGTGGCTGGGCTAGGTCCTCGATAGATTACCTCATTTAACGTCACAATGATGCTATGAATTTGACATTAGACTTTATCAAAAAGAAAACAAGGTGAGAGGAAACCAAGAAAATACCAGAGCATTAAAAACATCATGTTTAGGCTGAGTGCAGTAGTTCACACCTGTAATCCCAGCACTTTGGGAGGCCGAGGCAGGTGAGTCACTGGAGGTCAGGAGTTCAAGACCAGCCTGGCCAACATGGTGAAACCTACTAAAAATACAAAAATTAGCTGGGCATGGTGGCACATGCCTGTAATTCCAGCTACTCTGGAGGCTGAGACAGGAGAATCACTTGAACCCGGGGAGGTGGAGATTGCAGTGAGCCAAGACCATGCCACTGGACTCCAGCCTGGGCAATAGAGTGAGACTCCATCTCAAAAAAAAAAAAAAAAAAAAAAAAACAACGCATCAGATTTATATTAACCAGTCCGTGTTAAGGGCACAGGCTCTGGTGCAGACAGGCTTGGGTTTGGCTTTTGACACAATGTCTGGAAATGGAAACTGTGATGCCCATCTCAGAGACTTTTGTGAGCACCAGATAAGCTAATGCGTACAAAGTGCTAGGCACTGTCTGGCACATACAGACCCTGAGTAAGTAGGGTCAAATGTTACAGTCAGAGGGAAGTTCTTTTTCACGTCCAGGCTCCCCCACACCCCAGCCCTCTCCTTCCCTTCCCCAAGGAAAAGTTCTAGACACACACCTCATCTGGGAGGTCAGGCAGAGTTCCTGGCCCAGGGCAGACACTATGAGTCTGTTGAAAGAAAGAATGATGTAGCCTGCACACTTCTCCAGGTTTCCATCGGTAACCACAAACCCGGCTCATCACCCTGGGAGCCCAGTCAATTTCCTCTCCCTCTTTCTTCTCTCTCCAACTCAGAAACCACTCTCTCCACTGAAACTGAAAGTCTCTGGTGAAAGGCTGAGTGGTCTGGACAGAGGCCCGTCCAGCATTCTCAATGGCATTTCCGTCGTACCGGGACTCCAGGTTCCCACGGACGGGAGATAGACTTCCCTGCAGACTGCCAGGGCCTTTGGTGTTGCCCAGCCATAACCAAAGTCACCTGAGCTTCTGGCCCCTGCCTGAATGCCTTCACCACCCCCATCCCATACTCTCACAAGCAGCAGAGGTGAATACCTTTACATTTCCTCATCCAAAGGCTGATCCGTGGTTAGAGAAGTTCCAGGATCCTCCCAGTGTACCGATGGCAGCTTGGCAAGCTGGTCTCTGGAGCGGCTGTTTCCATGAGTCCTTTGGGGTCTCTTCAGCAGCCTTATACCAAAAAGATGAAGGGTGAGGTTTGAGGTATGCTTCCCACTCTTTGGTCAGCAAACGTTTGTGGAGCACCAGCTGTGTGTCAGCCATGGGCTAGGAACACAGCAATGAGACAGATGACTCCTTGCTTCGAAGACCAGAGCATTAAAACTCTCTAAAACACACTGTAATCTCAGATTAGCATTCATACCCTAGGCCAGGCAGGAAAACTGGAATATTTCTGGATCCAGTGACTGGCTCCAGTCCAGGTACCAAGAGGCTAGTGGGATAGCCTCAGAGTAGCTGGTGACAGAGTCGGCTTCATTCAGAATCTTCTTCTGGTTCCTTTGGATTGGCTTGGCTAATGGTGGAGTTATATTCACTTCCATCCAGGAGAGCCCTTCCCTGGCTCGGGTGGAGACTGAGGGGCTGCTTTCATCTTCTGCCATCCCCCTCCACTCACGTGTGATCACTGCTGGCTGGGGGTCTGGGTTAAGGAACGAAGCCAGCAGCAGTGTGCCAAGATAGACGACATTATGCTGTGTTAACAAACAACCCCTATCTTAGTGACATAGCAGCCAAGTTTCGTTTCGTTTTTTTTCTTTTTTTCTTTTTTTTTTTTTTTT